TTGAACTTCATAATGTGGTAATTTGGTGTTTGTATCATGTTAGTAAATGTATATGAGAGTTATGAGTTGTCATATGCAAGAAACATAAGTTTGAATGCAAGTTTGAAGCTCAGTCAGCTTGCTGGGAAACCCAAAATCCGATATGTCCGCTCGAGCGGGGGATTCGCCACTCGAGCGTGAAATGCTGGTTCCCGGCACTTTTGCAGACATGGATGTCCGCTCGAGCGGGTATATTCACGCTCAAGTTGGGAGCCATGTAGTGTGACATTCACGCTCAACCGTAGAAATGAGATAACCAGTATTTTTGCAGGCCACCAAGGTCCGCTCGAGTTCAGTGCTTGATTTAATGTGTATGAGAGAAAAAGTGATTTTGGAAAGTAGGTAACCAAACAAAATTTTGAGATTTTTTTTGAAAAAATTTGTTTGGTTTGATTACTCTTGAAAATTTGTTTGTAGAGAATTTTTCTACATATTCATTGCACATTCACAGTTCAAACATGTAATATTCTCCTCGTGAATTCCAATAGACATTATAATGAAATTTATTATCACACAACTCAGAAATTTAGAAGTAATTTCGCACCCACATACACGACCATGATTCAAAAAGTGAATGTGAAATACTCCATGTGACCATGAATACTGTCAGACATGCCAATTCCTTTAATAATCTGAACCCAAAAATAAAAGAAAATGTGCTACGTGAAGCTTGTCATTGAAAACTACTACAAACACAAATGTGATGTGACACTTTCTGCATGTCCTGTTGTGTCCTACATATTCATTGCACATTCACAGTTCAAACATGTAATATTCTCCTCGTGAATTCCAATAGACATTATAATGAAATTTATTATCACACAACTCAGAAATTTAGAAGTAATTTCGCACCCACATACATGACCATGATTCAAAAAGTGAATGTGAAATACTCCATGTGACCATGAATACTGTCAGACATGCCAATTCCTTTAATAATCTGAACCCAAAAATAAAAGAAAATGTGTTACGTGAAGATTGCCAACGAAAACTACTATTAACACAAACGTAACCTCTTCATATGCTTATATGAAATCACAACCACACAACCCAAATCATGTTACATTTTTTGTTTCTCTTCATGTCACAATCTACAAACACTATCCCTCGAATATCTTGACAAATTCACAAACATGTAAGCAGATCAACATAGGACGTGGCACCAGCCACGTCCGACAACTTACTTATATATTTGAGTGAAAACAACCAAACAACATCGTACAACATGTGGCACTATACACACAATCTAACTTACATGTGCTTCTACTCACATCCGACACTAATTTCATATTGGGCCACAATCACATTCATTAACTGTACAACACACAACACCAAGACGTGGCACCATTCACATTCAACAACTGATTTTTTAAAGTTAAGCCCCATAACCAAACAACATCGTACTGCAATGAGAAACTCCCAAAATAGTCTACCAAACCCAATACTATGCTCGGATTGAAAAAAAACAAATAAAATCATTAATGAATGTGACTGTGGCCCCCAAAATAGTCTAGCAAACCTAATACAATAACGAATCAAGCACAAATCACTCACACTGGTCAACCCACAGAACCCCCATCGTACAACCCCAACATACATACTATTTTCAATTCGGAAATTGTAAAATCAATTATTCATCACAATTCTCATAAAACATACAACTAACAAAATAGATTACCACTGAAGGTCACATAAACCCTAGTTTTGGGTTGTTAATAAAAATCAAATAAATGAACATTGCAAAATAGGGGCAAATCCACACTTACGTTTCGGAGTCATCATTCCTTCTCCTTCACCGGAAACGGTAACCGTTATCACCTTCCCCTCGAACGTCTCCGTCGAATCGCGTCCCTTCTTCTGTTTGTGGTGAGTTTCGAAATGTTATCAACTAAATCAACCGTTTACATTAGCGTAGAGGCACAAAACATATCTATTTCTTTTTTACCTTACAATTTTGCCAAACTGATCCTTTGATTTCCACAAATAACGTGTTTTTTGAATTTCAAAGTTAATGTATATGGATATGATCTATAGTAACATTCATTTTCCTACATATGATTTTCATATTATTTATGATATTAAGAACTACTATTAAGGGTAAATGTGTCAAGTAACTTCCCATAGGACTTATGAGAATATAAGTTTTTACTTAAGACTATATGTAACATAAGTGTCTGAAATAAGACTTATAAATAATTCTCATTTTTTTTCTTAAATTGATAAAAAAAATAATAATAATTGTGTGGGTAATTTTCTGACCACACTGCCAAATTAGTACTTAGCTGGAGAGCACCAGCAGAAAGATTAAGCCCGAACGACCTGCAACAGAAAGAAGAGTTTCCGGCGGTGGCTCGTCCACCCGGGGGCACTCCGACGATCAAGTTAGTACTCAATATCTCTCAAAGATAACCAATAGTGCTTAACTCACTATTCAGAATACAAAAAGCATACCTTAGACCCATGGGGCTGCCTCCCTTTTATCGCCAACACAATCCTAGTCCCAATAGGAGCCTAGCTCTAATGGACTTAGGATTACTGCTAATCTTGGACTCCCAGTAGGATTAGGATAAACTCTTTAAGAGTCTCATCTTTACCCAAACTGAAGTCTTCTCCCATTCTAGGACTCTTGTCCCTTATCCGCTTATCTTGGATTCCGACATCTTCACAGATAACCTCGGCCTAGCCGAGATCATCTCGACATCATGACCATGACACGTGGCACCTCGGCTGGCACTCTAGTGACACCTCGGCCACGTGTCGTCATTCAAAAATTATGTCCCCACAACTGCCACCTAGGTTCTATTACCTCGGCATCCTGAGGTGATGAAACCTATATCGTTCCTTCCTTTAATCATGATCCCGGTTTAACGTCAACGTGTAAACTTTTCTCAAGTTTCAGCAAGTGTTAAACATAATCTCAGTTTAACTTCAACTTGTAAACTTTTCTCAAGTTTCAAAAAGTGTTAAACATCATCTCTTCTTTCCATATCTGGAGGTCGTCCTCGTTATAATACATGCTTCGGTCTGATTTCTTCGGCATGTCGCCCTCCTGGCCGATGTCCTCTTCTCCATGATTCTTATCACGAGTTTCTTCATTGTAGTTGTCTTATTTGACGCCAAGGTCGATATGTTTCTCACTCTCAGTAGGAGTGTCATCCCCAACCTTCTTTTTCGATCTATCGTTGGCCATCTATTCTCCTTTTGTTCCTACAGACGGCGCCAAATTGTGTGGGTGATTTTCTGACCACACTGCCAAATTAGTACTTAGCTGGAGAGCATTGGCAGAATAGATTAAGCGCGAATGACCTGCAACAGAAAAAAGAGTTTCCGGCGGTGGCTCGTCCACCCGGGGCCACTCCGACGATCAAGTCAGTACTCAATATCTCTCAAAGATACCCAATAGTGCTTAACTCACTATTCAGAATACAAAAAGCATACCTTAGATCTATGGGGGTGCCTCCCTTTTATAGCCAACACAATCCTAGTCCCAATAGGAGCCTAGCTCTAATGGACTTAGGATTACTGCTAATCTTGGACTCCCAGTAAGATTAGGATAAACTCTCTAAGAGTCTCATCTTTACTCAAACTAAAGTCTTCTCCCATTCTAGGACTCTTGTCCTTTATCCGCTTATCTCGGATTCTGACATCTTCGCAGATAACCTCGGCCTACCCGAGATCATCTCGACATCATGACCATGACACGTGGCACCTCGACTGGCATTCTGGTGACACCTCGGCCACATGTCGTCATTCAAAAATTATGTCCCCACAATAATAAATACCTTGCTGAACCATTAATGTGAGTTTTAATCTTCCTACTACTATGCTCACAATCTTATCTTGTACCAAACCTTTTCTATTGGAATCAAGGCTGCCTTTGGCACAAAGTAGGAAAGTCGTTGCTTTGTGCCTTTTAAAAATAAGCAAAAGAATAGTTTTGAAATTCTTTTAGTTATTATACTAGTTTATAAAATAAAATAAAAAGACATCTTAGGATTCATTTGGGAAGTGAGTTAACTTTTTGATTTTTTAACTTTTTAGTTATTTTAGTTTGGGGCTAAAAAGTCTCGTTTGGGAAGATTTTTTAAGTTTTTTTGATTTTTTGTGAGAGAAATAATGTAATGATTATGGGTTGCATGTGATGTTTTGTCTTATTAGACTAAAAAATCTATTTTATTTTTTTGTAACTATTTTAGCTAAAAAAGCCCCATCCTCAACTTCCCAAACAGCGGCTTAATTATGAAAACACTAGATTGATGTGTTGAATTATTTAAACTAATGAATAATTATTTTCATTGAAAAAAATTAAAAAAAAGGCTTGATATTATGAGTTATTTGAAATTAATGGGAAGTTATTTCTCAAATACATGGATTGTGCATATAATACAATTAATTATACTTATTCAGTTATTTACGAAAAAATAATTTTTTCAAATTTAATGTTGATTAAATATTATTTTGAGTTAACTATGTTATAAAAAATATTGAATGAATTAATAATTTTATTCATTAAAAATAATTTTTTTGATAAGTTTAATAATGTAAGCTTGATTAATAATTTTATAATTAAAATGTGAGAATTTAAATTATGAAATGCCTCATATTAAGAGTTTACTTTAAGTCCCCAAAATTTTGAAGTTGGCAAAATCGGGTTGGACGAATACATTCGAATTGGGTATTTTTGGCATGCTGCGGAAGGTTCATGCGTGGCAGCAATTGCAGTAGTGAAATACAAGGTCTTCTATTTCTTGGCCCATCATTAGGCCCATGTTCATGTTAACTTTTGTCCCTATCATCATACCTTTGCTTCTGTAAAACAGTAATTCTAGAAACATTTTGATTGATGAACTTGAAGTCACTTTATTCTTTCTAAGATATATGTTAGTTAAAATTCACAACAGAGTGATCCAAAATAATCAAGCATCTCTTTTATTAGTTGTTTTATTTATGAATGGGTGAGGAGTAATAAAATTACAAATTCATAATACACTTGTAAATGACAGACCTGTCACATATTTAAACTTATATATATGTATTTTAAATAAATAATAATAGTAAATAATAAATAAATAATTATATGATATGATATGATATGTCCTTGAACCATTCAAAAAATGCATGTTCTTGGACATGTTAATGTCTCGAAATTAATAATACTAGAAACTATGTGAATTGATTTTGGGAAGCAAAGGTCTGTCCGAATTTCCATGATGAAGGGACGACATTGAAGAACTCTGAAGTTTTTCCATCAGCCAACATGAGTTTGAAAGACAGAGTTTGAGTTCGAAGATCCACATTGCTTTGCCAATTTGCGCCCCAGTTTCGGTGCATGCCCACCCAAGTTCGGGTCCTGGAGCTCCGAAGCCATGCAGCCCTAACATCTCCACTACCACCCACATTCGAGATCATAATCATGTTGAAATTTGATTGTCCTTTCAAGGTAAAACGAACTCCTCCTTTCCTTCTACATGCCACCCTTCAATCCAAATCATATGTATAATTTTTATTTTTTTAAGAAAAGGTGAATAAAATACAGTGCTAGTCAAGGATGGATCTAGGGGTGTGCAAAAATTGTAAAAATTATGTACATTATACTAATAATTAGTAAAATAATTTCAAAATATAAGAAATTACATGTGTTTTTGCCTCTTCAAATTGGTGCTAGCAACATTGTATTCTGTATGTTTTCTTAAAAAAATTTATGTGGTTGTAGTATTACGCTTTTCATTTTGTTATGGTTACCCTCTTTTGCTAAAATGTGTTATTTTATTTGTATATCATTAGTTTTTGGCTAACGTCGATATACAAATAAATTTTTTGTACAAATTTTTTACATGCAAATAATGTGTCATTTTGTGTTCCTTTGCTTTTAAAAAAATAAAAAAATCCATTATCGTGAGTTAAATTTTAAAATGCTACTCTCACATCATTTCACGTTGAGTTTATATATAACAATTCTGTTTCTAAATCATTTTTTTTAATATATTACATATTGTAGTGGATTACCTTCTATAGGGTACAGGGACAATGCCTTCATTGCCCTGTCGTGCAATGCGAAAGAAAGCAGGCATAGACATGTCGAAGTGCTTACGTGGCAGATTGCACCACCCTCCATTGTTGTTCGGAGGGCAGAAGTTGGTGGCAGTTATGGTGGTGACTGCACGGCGGAGACACCACTTTGGGTCGAGGTTGTAATCGCACATGAGTTGGTAGCAAGCACCACATGCCTCACCCCCTCCGAAGAGCACACCACTTACTGCTGCTGTGTTTATTCCAAATCCAGCATGGAATGTGTTATCATAACCACATGCTCCACCTGACCACAAGATTGAACGACTTTGATCATATTATGATCTTTCATATTCACAAGAAAATATCATAGTTTGTTTATGTTAGCATTCCATATTGGTTTTAGATGATATTTAGAATGAATATATAAGACGACGTAAGACATTTTCATTGTGGAGATATATTTTGAATTGGAGTCTAAAGAGATACATTCGTAATTCTACTCTTTAATACTAAAAATTGAAAGGCATTTTAGAGTACGAACAAAATATTCAACCAACATCTGAATTGGTACATTAATAGAGCATGCATTGCTAAAATGATCAATTAAAGCTAAACTTTAACAATAAATAATATTAAAATGTTATATTTCAATAATGTTACTCCAATGGTATAAATATTATTATTATTTTATTGCAAATAGTCAAATTCAAATGCTAGTTGTGTGTTTGTTTTATCATGAGAAAGTGAGAAGTTTTGCCAAAATTCAGTTAATTCCAATCTTGAGTTTCTTGCTTAATTTTGATAGTAATAGAACTTTGAGCTATTTTTTAAGAAAAACATCTCTTACCCATCTTACAAAATGAGAATAGTTTCTCTCCAATTCCAATACTAAATTCAAAATTTTATGAAAGTTGGTAAGTCTCAAAGTGAGCCCCGCTGTTGTAGAACTTATACATTTCTCACTGTGAAATATGTTGAGAGTGATATTGAAAGAGTGAGTAAGCTCTTTGATTCAACGTATATAAACTGTAAGAAGAGGCTCCATTATATAGGAGCTGCTATACAACATCATCATGAGAGAAAAACCATATAAAAGAGAAAAGGGACCGAAAGCAGCTGAAAGAATCTTATGCTCTGTCCAATAAGCAGAGTAATATATTATACTATATGCATTATATATTAACAGAGTAATATATTATACTATATACATTACATTATACATTAACACTCACAAAATTTTGAAGTGAACCCCAATTCATTTCGAGAAAAACCTAACTCTAATTTTAGGAGGCAATTGGGACCTAACTTAGATAAGAAACTAAAAACAAACACTTACCAAGGGTGGTGGGACTTTGATTGGCTCCATAGAAAGTAGCATGACCGTTGAGCCAACGGTTACCTTGTCCATTGACACCCTTCAAAACAATACCCACAAAAGATAAAAACATCCAAAACAAAAGTGAAGAAGGAATATTAGAAAGTAATAAGGTCGCCATTGTTAATTGATAATATATTATCTATCAATCAAGACTCAAAACCAAGTTTCAATGTCTGCATGAAATATCTAAAAGAGTGCACTCATTTATAGACTAATTAATCTGCAGAGAACGCGGTAGTCGGTGATTATAATAGAGATTGAGAGAGATAGAGAAATCTCATCTGTTTCATAAGACGCGTTTGTTTGTAGTGTAACTTGTTCATTCATGTCCCTTAAGGTACGGAACAGTACCACGTAGTACCGCTTGTGGCGTCCGGATCCTTTAGAGTGATCCTCTGAAGTGATCCTCTAGAGTGGTCCCTTAGAGTGCAACACGTGTCCCATTAACGCATCCAACGGCTGAGATGATCCCTCACCAAAACGGCGTCGTTTTGGTGAGCCAGACCAAAAAAAAAAAAAAATTGCAGAGCTGCGATTGAGAGAGATAGAGAAATCTCATCTGTTTCATAAGACGCGTTTGTTTGTAGTGTAACTTGTTCATTCATGTCCCTTAAGGTACGGAACAGTACCACGTAGTACCATTTGTGAGTGGGAGACAATGGGAATGCATGGGCATGTGCTTGATAGTGCTCTTTGTTTAAAGTCACCTCTGTCGGTGTTTTGTATTGGCATACCTCATTATTAAGGTAAGGATTCGCTAATGGTCGTTGGTTAATAAATTTAGAAAAAATTTAGAAAGAGAAAGAGAAAGAGAAGTAACGTATAATTATATTTTATTTGCATTTTGTTCATTTGTTTTTTCTTTTAAATTTCTATCAAAATTTATGAATCAAACTGATGTAATAGTTATTCGTTAACCTAAATGCTAACAAGTGTTAATTTTGGGATTAGTATAAAAAGAATATTTTTAAAATGATGAGAAAGTTAAAAAAATATTTTCAAATGAATAAAAAATGTTTTTTGAAACTAGTAAAAAGTTTTTTGAGTTTTACAATTATTTTTCTGGCTATTTGTTAGTAAAAACCTTTCACTAATGCTAATAACACGTAATTAAAATATGGGTTATAAACAAATGCAATGATAGAATGAAATTTATTTTAAATGTAGATCCTTTTATAATTGCATTTAATCTTAGCCTTTCATTACATTTTTTGTGAATGGTTTTGTGCTTCTAGCATTGTTGATATCTATGAAGCATGGGTATTTTAAAAAATATATCGTATTTGTATCGGGTACTTATCGGTGTATGATACCTCGTCTGGTACATCTGGATATATACCGAGTACACGAAATACGTACCTAAATTTTTTCTTCTTAATTTTTGGCATACTAGACGTACCTAGTATATACTCAAGCCGTATCGTACCTCAGTTGAAATAATATTTTCTTTTACTATAAAGATAAAACTCCTTTCACTAGATTTTTTTTTTTTAAAAGTTTTATACTTAGCATGATTTTAAAATTAAAATATGGTTTGTAAGTTATTTAATATAATAACATTTAATTTTGATTTATACTTTTACTTTTGGCATTAAATGTTAATTATAGGTTAGATCTTAACAAATTAAACCATTTAATTGGTTTTTGCATTACTTTAAATTAAAAATAAATATTTTTTTATAAGCCTAACAAGCCATTCCCATACCTTACTTTTTTTTAGATTTTACCGTATCGACGTACCCATATCGTAACAGTATTAATATTCGTACCCATACCTATATTTCATAGGATGATATATATATTTATTATTTAAAAAAACAATTATTAAAAAAACTGATACGTATGATAAATGTTAAAAAAATTATTTATTTGTTGGTGAAAAAGTTGGGTAAGATTTATTTATTTTTTTGTAAGCTAAATAGTCATTTGCTAACCGGCAAGTTTTATTTTATTTTATTTATATTTTTTGAGACAGATTATGATCAACTATTTTACCCATAGTTTTCATACCGTTTTGAGTCCTTAAAGCAATGCAATTTAATTTGGTTTAGTTTAATTATTAAATTTTAAAATTACAATTTAGTTTGAGGTTAGCTTCAAAATAGAATTAAGTTGGTCTATGAACACTTCTAATGGAGTTTATTGGGGTTGTTTGTTGGAGATTATTTTAAGTTAAAAATTGAAAATCAGAAAGCATATATTAAAAGTATCTCTCACCTAATTTTTGAAAAATTAGCTTTTTTTTAAAAAAAAAAAAAAAACTTATTTAAGCTATTTTTTCCTAATAAATTATAAATAAAAATTATACCAAATAATTTAACATAAACTCTTATATTAAAATAAGTTATAATTGTCAGCTTGTTGTGGGTCCAACTTGTGATAAAGTGGCGGAAGAAAACGCCAAATGTTGTCAAGCCCATGTTTTTAGATCTTGGAATTTCTTTGGGAGAAAGCAAAGAATAAGGGGGTTCTTATATTTTAGTAGTGAAATGATTATTCATTGAATTTGTTATTGTTCGAATTTTGGGTTAGTTAAATGACTTATCGGAAGATTGGTTTTATCCTCGTCCATTATGATTGTCACGCTCGTCTATTATGCTCGTCACCCCCTATCATCCGAATGATTGGACGATTAATCTGTCGAACGACTAATATGAACAAATTCAGACAATTCAAATGATACTAAATTTGATAAATGTAGCATTGTTGATTTTAATATATCTACGACAGTCCAAGTTCCAACTGGAACTTTCCAATGTAGAGGGCAATTAAAGTCTTTTCACTTTTTCAAGTTTTTTCTTAATTAATAGCAATTACTTAGATCTATAATACTAATTAGTCTATAATACATAGGCTGTTGTGCCCTCTTCTGGAGGCTCATCCCAAGTTTCTTTTGATAATTCGAACTGTTTATATCGTAGAGTTTGTTGAGTAGATCATCTATGTAAAAAATTAAGTTGATTGGATATCTATAACCTTATAACAAAAGCACATTTGTTTTTTAAAAATTAATGGTTAACATAATTTTGATAATTTTTTAAAAATAATTAGAATTTAATCATGAGATTACGAACATCCGATTAACTTAATTTTTTATATGAATAATATTTTTAACAAACTATACAACATAAATAATTCAGATTAACGAAAGAGATTTAGAACGAGTCTCCACGAGGGGCACAGCAGCACCCCCATGTCAATAATATACATAAGTCTGTATCTGCAATACCATTATTCACAAACAAGGTGCCCAAGGCCAATAGTCCAAAAATGTGGATGCTGTTACTTTCCACTTTTTATTTATTTATTTTTTTTTAAAGAAAACAGAAAATTCATAAAAATAAAATAAAATAAAATAAATGAAATTGAAAAATAATCATAAAAAGATAGAAAAAGTTATGTCCAATATTATAGGCAAAAACATGTTTTGGATTCGATAGCTTGTAAACATAGACATATATCATAGAAGTTCATTACTCTACTTCACTATGAAGAACTTCAATAAAATTGATGAAGAAGTTGCTAATCATAAAATTGAGTGTATTGTAGGTTGAGTTGGGCAAGGCACATTGATTCTTTGAATAATATAATGAACAAATAACTGAATTCTGATTGAAATAGGGGCATTAATTCTTAAGATATGTAAGCATTTTTTTTCTTCTTTCTTTTTCTAAAGCTGACTTTTTTCTCTTTTCTTTACAAAGCTGACTCTGCAATTTGTAATAGCTGTCCCTTATAATTTTTATAACGACCCTGCTGGAGACCCCAGCACCCCCACCTCCACGTGAGGGGCTGGCAATGGATGAAAACCAAAAAAAAATATATATATATATATATATTTTTAGACCAATCAGGAGAGACCCCAGTACCCCACTGGGGGTCTCATGCATTTTCCTTTTTATAAATATATGCATATGCTGCTGTTCACAAAAAAAACAAAATAAAATTAAAAAAAAACATGAATATGCTCAAGTAGGAATGGACCTAGGAGCAGCTGAGCCAACCGCTCCAAAAATTTTCGTAATATTAAGGTTATAAATATTTTTACATTATATTAGACTAAAAAAAATTAATAGCTGAAGTTAATAGCTCAATTTTTGTATATTTCAAAAATTAATAGCTGAAGTTAGAATCATGCATTTGTGCTTATACAGATTCCTCTCTACATCCGAATATTGATGCACCTTTCTCTAAAACAGAGAGATACCTTCAAATAATATATATAATTTGAAATATACAAAAATAATAATAATTGTAGAAAAGTTATAAAATTCAACAAATTTATAATTTTATCTCACGTGAGAAAGAAAGTGAAAAAGAAAAGCACTTGGGGAAAACTATCTCTGCATGACTAGCTAGCTACTTTTATCCCACTCCAATATATATATATATATATATATATTAGCCTATCACTCGTGCTATGCACGGAATAATTATAAATATTTATATTTATTTTAATTTTTTTAATATATAAATTTTATTTTTTAAAATTTTTTTATAAAAATAATTTAACAATCTTATCACTAACCATAGTGTATGAGAGAAGTTAAAAAGGATACTGCAGTATAGATAGATATCTACAACTTTAATAAAAAATATTATCTGATTTTTGAGAAAGAGAAAAGGAATGCAAGTTTTAATATTTTTTTTAGATCCATATCTAAATTCTTATCTTTTATTTATTTTTATTTTTTTTGTGTGGTTTCTATTTGGGTTTTTTTTTTCAATTTATTTAAGATAGAGTTGTGGGTATCTTTTTTTTTTAATTTAATTTATCCGTGGTTTCTATTTATTTTTAATTATTATTATTTAGGTGAGTTATGATGTGAATTAGATATGTGATAAACATGTGAGTTTTATTAATTTAAAGTTTATTTAGATAAACTTTAAAGATTTTTTTTTAGTTTTTTTTTGAATGTTATAATATAATATGTAAGATATAGATAGATATCTACAACTTTAATAAAAAATATTATCTGATTTTTTGGGAAGAGAAAAGGAATGCAAGTTTTAATTTAATTTAATTTTTTTGAAATTGGTGAGAGAGATTAGGAGGGAGAGATTATGAAATATTTTTGTTATTAAATAAATAAATCAATTAATATTTTTTTAATCTATTTTGTAAATTAAAAAATTAATAATTTTAGAAAATTGATTAATTTG